ATTTAGTTAAAAGTCCATTGTTTGATAAAATGATGAAATCGGTTGGTGAGTATGGCAAGGGATTAAAACTTCCTAGCTATTATGAGGTTAGAGTTACTTGTTTGAAGAAAGAAATAAAAAATGTGAAGGTGAGTTTGGATAAATATAGAATGGAATGGAAGAAAAGTGGGTGTACTTTGATATCGGATGGATGGACCTATGGGAAACAACGTTCACTCACAAACTTTCTTGTTAATAGCCCTAGTGGAAGTTTCTTTAATCGGTGGATACTTCCGAAGTTATAAAGGATGCTAATAAGTTGTTTGAGTTACTTGACTCAATGGTGGAGGAGATTGGAGAGGAGAATGTGGTTCAAGTGGTGATAGATAGTGCTTCGGCTTATGTAGCCGCCGGTAGGTTGTTGGAGGAGAAGAGGGAGAAGTTGTTTTGGTCTCCTTGTTCCGCTCATTGTATTGATTTAATGTTGAGTGATATTGATGATTTGCCAATTTTTCGTGACACCATTTCAAAAGTCAAAGAAGTTACACTTTTCATTTATAGGCATTGTTGGGTGCTTAGTAAATTTAGAGAGTTTTCGAACAACATGGAACTTACACGACCGGCGGTTACAAGATTTGTTACTGCATTTCTCACCCTAAAAAGTTTTGATAATAGAAAGTCTTGTCTTCGATGCATGTTTTCATTGAAAGATTGAGCTAATGGGCCTTTTGCTTCAAAGATTGATGCTAAAAAAGTGGAAAACATAATTTTGCATGATCAAAAAATTTGGAAAGCAATCAAGTATTGCTTAAAATCTATGATTCAACTTGTTAAAGTGTTGAAGTTAATTGATGGTGATGCTAAACTGACCATGGGATATATATATATANATCTTTGTTTGAATTTTGTGTCGAATCTTACGATTCACGATTCACAAATTTAAGATTCTGATTCGCGATACGAATCTCGATTTAACAACTACGCTGGAGTGTTACTATACTACAAAATTAACATAGAGTTTGGGGTTCATACGGTAAAAATTGGTACATTAACTTAGTTAAGGTGGGGAACCAAGAATTTATATATGGTTGTGTACTTTATGGTCTATTTGGTAGGAAAGATGAAAGATATACATGATAGAAAAGTATGAGGGATAGACTTTTCATTCTTTGAGGAAGGAAAATCAATTTCTCTTATTTTTGTTTGGTACGATGGATGAATTAATTTTCTATTGTTNGACCCAAATTTTAATCCCAAGTAACTTATTTTTAGGTTCCAATATGATTCAAATTTTAATGCCGATAAGGAAGTAAAAGTTGGCTNAATCCCAAGTAACTTATTTTTAGGTTCTAATATGATTCAAATTTTAATGCCGATAAGGAAGTAAAAGTTGGCTNATAGAGTTTGGGGTTCATACGGTAAAAATTGGTACATTAACTTAGTTAAGGTGGGGAACCAAGAATTTATATTTGGTTGTGTACTTTATGGTCTATTTGGTAGGAAAGATGAAAGATATAAATGATAGAAAAGTATGAGGGATAGACTTTTCATTCTTTGAGGAAGGAAAATCAATTTCTCTTATTTTTGTTTGGTACGATGGATGAATTAATTTTCTATTGTTTGGTANTTGGTTGTGTACTTTATGGTCTATTTGGTAGGAAAGATGAAAAATATACATGATAGAAAAGTATGAGGGATAGACTTTTCATTCTTTGAGGAAGGAAAATCAATTTNATTTTTTATAGCTTTGTGGTGGGAAGTTATGGAGATGATAACAAAGAACTCCAAAGATTGGCTATAAGGGTATTAAGGCTCACGTGTAGCGCCACAGGATGTGAGAGAAATTGGAGTACTTTTGATCATGTACATTCCAAGAAAAGGAATCGCTTGGAGCAACAAAGATTAAATGNTTCTCTTATTTTTGTTTGGTACGATGGATGAATTAATTTTCTATTGTTTGGTATCAGAGGAAAAATGAAAAGAAAGAAAACACATGCAAATTTAATTTACCATTATACCCTCACTAATAAAAATTATTTTTTCCTATTGCAAGTAGACTTTTCAAAATTTGATAATGTTAAAAATCCCTCCAATTTGTTATAAAAATTAATAAATATGTACACAAATAAATATTTTTTTCATCCAATTTCTTGTGGAATCAACTAAAGTATAATGTTTGGGTGTTTTGAGAAATTTATTGAAATTGATTAGTGAGGGATATAACAAAAAATCGTCTAATATTGAAGAGTGATAATTGTTCACATTNCCGATGATGAGTGGATTACTGAGAGTGAAGATCTATGTCTACCAAAAGACAACTCATGGATGGATGTTCATGAATGTTTTCAACTTGATGAAAGTGCATCTTCTAGCAAAAAGAGAAAAAGAGGNTCGATGATGAGTGGATTGTCATTTAGTCATTTACCAATTATTATTTGTAGAACCAAGGAATTTAAATGCTATNTTGTATGATAACATGATATGAACTCTTGTAATTTTGATAGATTTAACGTCAAAGCATGTTACACAATTTTTAAATTAATCGGGTCGTAATCAATTAGTTGGATCATATTATATTGAATATGTATTGTATTAATTTTTTTGGTATGATGGATGAAAAAATTGAGGAATAAATTANTATGATGGTATTGAAGTGGTTGATGATGAGGAAACGGAGATGGTTGAAATAGAAGAAGATAATGATGATAAAGATCTTGACCTTGGAGATAATGAAGATTGAAGAAATTGACTACTACTATTTTTTTTTGATGAGTCTTAGAACTTGACTTTTTGTTGTATGCACCCTTTCATTTTTTGGGACCATAGGTGATAGGTCCATAACTTGACTTTTGATTGAAATATATAATTATAATGAATCAATGATAGATACATATTCTCTTGATATATGCTTTTTTTTTATATTGTAGTTGGCTTGTAAATTGCAAATAATATATAAAAATCAATCACAGTGGGATTCGAACCCATATTTTCTATACATAAAAGCTAATGTTTTTCTATTTAGACAACGTGATTATGCTAATTGATTATTTTTACAATGCAATAGTACTCAAAATTCAATAAATTGCTTATTTTAACTTATAAATGTTATTTTTTTTTCNTATCTATACTCACCATGTTAGTTACTAAACCCATTCTATCTATATTTATTAATTAAAAATTAAATTTAATCTAATTTTATTTCAACATACTATATATACAATGATCAAAATTTCATTTTAGTGTATTTTGTCGGTATGTAAAAATTTCAGAAATAAAATAAAAATGAATAATTTATTTTTAAAATATTAGTCAAAATATATTAAAAAATTTTAAAACACGTCAAAATATTCTGAAGATATTAGTGAAAATAAATCAAAATAACTTAAAACACCTTAAAATATTCTAGATCACCTCGTATCATTGAAATTTCATTTTAATTACTATTTTTGTTTTGATTTCTTTAAAATATATANTCTCTTTGTTTGAATTTTGTGTCGAATCTTACGATTCACGATTCACAAATTTAAGATTCTGATTCGCAATACGAATCTCGATTTAACAACTACGCTGGAGTGTTACTATACTACAAAATTAACATAGAGTTTGGGGTTCATACGGTAAAAATTGGTACATTAACTTAGTTAAGGTGGGGAACCAAGAATTTATATATGGTTGTGTACTTTATGGTCTATTTGGTAGGAAAGATGAAAGATATACATGATAGAAAAGTATGNTGTATAAAAAGAGATTTAAGAGACGATAATAGCCACACCAAAAAAAATAATTTATAAAAGATGGGTGAATGATATTTTTTACCTTTAAAAAATTCTAAAATTTGTAATTTATATTTTAAAAAATTTAAATTGTACATTGCACCCTTAATGAGATAAAAATATAGTTTAAAATAAATATTCATTGATTTTTCTGACAATTTTTTTGTTGTATTTGTTGTATTATCTTATTTTTATAATAATCAATTTTAAGTGTTTTTAATGACAATTTCATACCAAAATTTCTGAAGATAGAGTACCANCATCTATACTCACCATGTTAGTTACTAAACCCATTCTACTATATTTATTAATTAAAAATTAAATTTAATCTAATTTTATTTCAACATACTATATATACAATGATCAAAATTTTATTTTAGTGTATTTTGTCGGTATGTAAAAATTTCAAAAATAAAATAAAAATGAATAAAAAATGAATAATTTATTTTTAAAATATTAGTCAAAATATATCAAAAAATTTTAAAACACCTCAAAATATTCTGAAGACATTAGTGAAAATAAGTCAAAATAACTTAAAACACCTTAAAATATTCTAGATCACCTCATATCATTGAAATTTCATTTTAATTACTATTTTTGTTTTGATTTCTTTAAAATATATATTTAATAATTTAACTGGATAAGTATAAATGGGATACACTTAGTTATTAATAGAATGAGTATAAATGAAATGAACTTAATAGTTTGATATAAGAGAATTAAATGAGGTATAAAAGGAGATTTAAGGGGCGAGAATAGCCACACCAAAAAAAATAATTTATAAAAGATGAGTGAATGATATTTTGTACCTTTAAAAAATTCTAAAATTTGTAATTTATATTTTAAAAAATTTAAATTGTACATTGCACCCTTAATGAGATAAAAATATAGTTTAAAATAAATATTCATTGATTTTTCTGACAATTTTTTTGTTGTATTTGTTGTATTATCTTATTTTTATAATAATCAATTTTAAGTGTTTTTAATGACAATTTCATACCAAAATTTCTGAAGATAGAGTACCAATTGGAGAATAATAAGGTCGTTTAGGACAGAAAGTGTCATTTGTCACACAAACAAGCGAACTGATGGCCCATTCCTAACGAAGCCCACCACAATCCCCGCCAAATGGTATGACCAAAAAGAGTAAAAGGCAACAAAAATTGGATTCTCTCTCTCTCTCTCTCTCTCTCTCTCTATATATATATATATAATATTTATATATTATAGAGAGAGAGATTAGTATTACCCAGTCTCGACTCTAATCCTAAAAATAAGATTTCAAGGGAGAGAAGACAAACAAGAGATCCAATCTGAGAACATCAATGGAGAAACCACCAACGTCAGTATCATCATCAAAGCCTTCTTCCTCAGTCCTTCCTTATCAAACCCCAAGACTCAGAGACCACTACTTGCTGGGCAAGAAGCTAGGCCAAGGCCAATTCGGTACAACCTATCTCTGCACAGAGAAGTCCACAGGCACCGAATACGCATGCAAATCGATCCCAAAACGCAAGCTCTTGTGCCGCGAAGACTATGAAGATGTTTGGAGAGAGATTCAGATAATGCACCACCTGTCTGAGCACTCAAACGTTGTGAGGATCAAAGGGACTTACGAGGACAATGTGTTTGTTCATCTTGTGATGGAGTTGTGTGGTGGTGGTGAGCTCTTTGATAGGATTGTGCAAAAGGGTCATTACAGTGAGAAAAAAGCTGCTCAGTTGATGAAGACCATTGTTGGGGTTGTGGAGGCTTGTCATTCTCTTGGTGTCATGCATAGAGATCTCAAGCCTGAGAATTTCTTGTTTGATTCTCCTGACGAGGATGCAAAACTTAAGGCCATCGATTTTGGGTTGTCTGTGTTCTACAAGCCTGGTTTGGTCTTGGGTTCTCTTGCATTTACTATGTTTTATAGATCAAACATTATTCATTTTTTTCAATTAATTTTGCTTTGCGGGCTTCCATTTTCCTATGTTTTGTTTGATCTGGAGCTATTGGTTGATGGGTTTGATCAAGGCGGAGCCAGTAATTTAACTTAGGGTGGGCCCTTAATTACATGCTGCAGTTTTTATATTTATATTGATAAAAGCAAGTTGATATGCTAATATTTATTTACAGAGCCCGATCACATGCAAACAAAGGCCAATTACATGTAAATTCCAAGTTTGATTATGAACATATAACAAAGAAGCAAAAACAATATGCAAATCAACTGAATTGTAGAGACATTAACACAATTGAAAAATACTAAACATTCAGTTACAAACCAAACACAACTTATATTCTAAAAAAAAACTCTTCAACCAATAACAGTAGCATCATGTAATTTTATTAGAAATTATGAAATGAATCCAGTGTATTCAAAATTTATTTGAATCTGCTTGAATGGTGTCCGTAACATGCCCATAGCCATTTAGGTATATATCTATATGGAAGTAATAGGGTGGGCACTAGAACATATATTTGAGGGTGTTTAATACTTGTATATACAAACATGTATAAGTAATGATATTGAAGTGGCAGATTATACATGTAGCAAATGCAGATGAGGGTGGAATATAGGTTTTTCTTCTAGTCTGAGCATTGTTTTTTGGGTAGCTAACAGAAATGTTTAGAAAAATATGAATAACAGAAAGGGGCACCCCCCCAGCCTTGACACAGCCCTTAGGCATATCTCTGGGCCCTAACATTATATAAAGGATATGCAATTCGATGACCAAATTTTCCCCAACCATTGTATTTCACTTGCCCCGTATAAACACACACTCCACTGCTCGTTCGTTTTAGGAATTCCCCTTAATTTTTCTGCTGTCACTACCTCTTTGTTGATGGCTTGTGGATCATGTGCTTTGCTTGTAAAAATTCTCTGATTCATCTCCTCTCACATGCAATAAAATGTAGCAGTTATGTCTACATCCTTCGCAGTCATAATGAATGATTTCCCTTCAAGGTGCTGTGTATCCTAGTCCAACTCATACATTCATTCCACACTGGTTAATTAATCAAACTAAGCTGCACTATAGGTTTTAAAATCCTAACAAACTAAGAGATGCCTGTACAAAAGACAATTTGCCTTCTGCAAAGTACCCCCCATTCTGTCCGTGTACCTTTAGGGCTCAATTCTTGAGTTAATGTTTAATCCATTTTATTTTCAGAGCCTTTGGTAGAAAAGCTTCAGGAAATAAGTTCCTCAATTCTGTCAGTTCGAGTAAACCAGGAAGAGGACGTCACCATGTTGCATTTTGAATTATCTTTCACACTTTGGAGTTTTCTGATATTGCAGCATTTACATAATCTTTTGACCATATTATTCTTCAAGTTTTCTGTAGGATGCCAGTCGTCCTGCCACAAGTATATATCCTGCTTAAACCCAATCTGATGTTTAATGGATGGGCTAGCCAATTTGAAACTTCAGGACTTCTTTCCGTGTCCATGAACAATCTCTAGGAATTGGAAATTCCCAAAAGCAGTAGTTCCATATCATGTACATGTGAATTTCACGGACAAGGAATCCTATTCGAAAGAGCCTACCAATATTGAAGCATATGTGTTTGTTCCAAACATCAAGTTTTTTGGTCCCTTTTTTCTTTTCTCATTTTTTTTAACTAGATCCCTTCTTTTGTGAAAAGTATGCAATTTAGTTTAGCTTTATAAACCAATATCCATGCTGCGACTTATGGAAAAAATTGAAAAAACTTGAGTCATATTGATTGCTTTAATACTTTGTATGAGGTTTAGTGATGATTATTACGGTTCTTGGCATAGTGGGCCATGACCTACATTCAATTTCCTCAAACAAGCATGGTTGGTCTACTGATGGTTACTTTTCTTTTCCTTCCAGGGCATTATCTTTCGGATGTTGTTGGAAGTCCATATTATGTTGCACCTGAAGTGTTGCATAAGTATTATGGACCTCAAATCGATGTATGGAGTGCTGGTGTTATTTTGTACATCTTACTATGTGGGGTTCCACCTTTTTGGGCAGGTAGCCCTCTTGATGAGTTAAAATGCATCACTATCTGGAGTAGCAGATGTATTACTGATGATGTGCTATTACCAGTTCTCATCATGATCTTAATGATATAAAATTTTACTTTTTGTTTTAAACTCACAGAAACCGACTCCGGTATCTTCAGAGAAATTCTCAAAGGCAAATTAGATTTTGAATCTGAACCATGGCCTCATATTTCTGAAAGTGCAAAAGATCTTATACGGAAGATGCTTAACAGGGATCCAAGGAGCAGAATATCTGCTCATGAAGTTCTATGTGAGTTATATATTTGGAAATTTGAAATTTCCTCTAGAATATAGTAGCGAGGGCATTCCATTTTCTCTTAGAGCTCGTTCAGATTGTCATTAATCATGAAAATGAATTGGGCTTTTTTGCCAGGTCACCCATGGATCGTGGATGACAGAGTTGCCCCAGACAAACCTTTGGATTCTGCAGTTTTGTCGCGCCTGAAGCAATTCTCAGCAATGAACAAACTTAAAAAGATGGCTTTGCGTGTATGTTTTTCTCAATACTTTCCTGTGTTATTCGCCTTGTAGTTTCACCTCGTTTCCACATAATTCATCTCCATAAGTTCCTTGATGTCAGTTGATGCTTGTACTATTTATCATGCGTAATCAACTTGATCTGCTTAAATGAGGATCCATAGAATAGCTTAGAAAGCAAGGGCAGTTTCAAACAGAAGCTTGAAATTGAGAGAAGGCAGAATGACAAAATTGTCAGGCTCTGCAACTTTTTAGGATGCTGGAACTCATTGAGGCCTATTATATTCCATCCTCTAAGGCTGTTTTTCCTATCTTGCTGGGGAAAAGGTTGGGGAGGCCCTTTTTTATTCCACAAAAGGTGGAAGCCTTGTGTATTGATCACCTGGTGCTCAACAAGGTAAGCTAACCATCAAGAACAAAAATCCACTTTGATTGCAGGCTTCTTCACCCTAGTCAATAAGCACGAGATACTTCTCGAAAGTAAATCTGATTTGGATCTAATGGTGGTAGCTAGTAAAGGTGCAACTCGGGTGGGTTAGGTGGTCAACCCTAGTCCAACCCTAGGTATAAAATGTTCAACCCTGACCTTAACTCGAGATACTCATACCTAGTACTGTTCGAATTGATTTCGGACAAGCTCAGGTTGAAATCGGGTTATTCAATTTGGGCCGAATTCGGTCTGATTTTGGGTTTGAATTCGGGTTTAAACATAGTCCCTATTTAGAAACTTATTCAGTTTATACAAAAGATCCAAACAACAAAACACATCCCCACAAAGAAATAGAAATCTAAATATTTTTCTCTAGATCTAAACATTCTTACCCAAGTACATATTTATCAACGTTAAAGATTAATTAGCTATAGAGATTCGGCGAAGCCACAAAGATCCCGATGAGATCGAGATCGAGGCCAATGAAAATCTAGACGAGATCAAAGTGAGGCCCTTTTCTCCAAATCTATTGACTTCTTCTCCAGACCCATCAACTTTTCTTCTCCAGATATATGGTGGAATTTGAAGAGATAAGAACTTGAGAGATGAAAGAGAGACCGAGAAGTGGGAGGCAGAATAGAAGAGAAAGTAAGAAAGGGAAACCCTAGTGGTTGATGTCTCCTATATATATATATAATTTATAAATATATAATTTTATTTTACATTTTCAGGTTGAGCACGAGTTATATAATCGAGTTGAGCCTGATTTAAATATTCTAATGTGAACCCGGCAACATGAGGTCTCACCATAGTGCTGCCCGAATTCAATTTGGGTTGGTGGTTTTTAGTTTGGGCCTAACCTAAGTCCTATATTTTTCAAATTGGGTTCGGGTTGAATTTGGGTTAGCCTATCCAAGTTGCACCCCTAGTAGCTTGGAAGCACATATACTTCTCACAGGGGTGCCGTAGTAGTGTCGGACACGTGTTTGACACAGACATGGCTAGGACACGGTCGGACATGTGTTCGACACGACTAAAAATGTCCTGAATAGTGAACTCAATTGGACACGACCATGATACACTTGGAATACGACCAAGGCACAACCAATAATTTTTTTTATTAAAAAAACAACTTTAACTATTAAAACAAGTGTATTTTTACTTTTTTTTAATATATTTTTTGTTATGTAACTTATATACTATGAATGCTAATAGATGTAATGATATTTGATGAAAATGGTGGATATTTAATTTGATCTATTTCAATTTTAATCAAAAAATTAATAATTGTTAGGTCTTATTAATATTGTTATAATATATGCTTTTTTTTTAATATATTACAACTCTATTATTATTTAAAAAATATATTATATTATTTTAATAGCAGTATCCTTGTTGTACCCATGCCCATATTTTTTTTTACTTTTTCATATCCCATGTTCGTATCATATCGTATCATATCTATGCTTCCTAGGGGGGTAGTAATTGACTACCAAGTTGTTACAATCTTGCAGAAGTCATCAGCTTTGTGATTGATTTTGAAGCCAGTCTCAATAATATTGTTCCATACATGGCAATACATATATAATCTATCATTAACATTTGACATATAATCTATATAATCATACTCTTTTTTGGATCCTCGCTAGATTGGTGGATAATGGGAAATTGTATGCAAGTGACAGAATCCGGAGGGGCAATTTGGATGATGTGGGTTCAATTCAGTCAGTACATCATTATTGGGTATGAGGAGATTTAAAGATAATTTGGTGCAAAGTACTAATCAGCAGATCACAAAAAGAATAGATGCAAAACAGTTAGGGATGTGGAAATCAGAAAATTAAGTTTGTGTCAAACGCTAAGTCTGTTATCTGAACCAAAATTCATGAAGCTTTTTGTTGGCGGGGTTTTGTTGTTTCTGTCAAAGCTTAATTGACCATGACAATTTGACACACCTATAATTGTGGCGACAAATGTTGATCAACAATCGTGATGACGATAGGTGATTTGTGTTATTATTCATCATAAATACACAGGTTGGTTTAAAAACCAAGATAAAATCATTCCTATTATTCAATAGAATGATACACCAAGAGGTAATCTAGCTGTAATGGGAACTTTAAGGATTACTTTCAGTGCAAAATTTACTCCATTGTTATGTTGTTTGGATCAATTCCCTGGAGATAGTCAGTGTAGTGAAATGTGCCCAAGTGGACACAACTACTTTTGAAAATGGTAGTTGTGCTTAAATATTAGGTGAGGAAGAAGAGGTGGCTGATGCAAGAACCCAGATTCCTTGGTTTCAAACTAAATTTGGCAGTATAATATGGAATTTGAGCTCATTTGGTCAACAATTATTTAGTCATTTGTGTGAAGAGAGATTGTATCCCACATCAAAAGATTAGGGTCACCAACAGTTGGTTTGTATGCTTGAGGGGCCTCTTCACTCATTGCCAATTTGTTTCAAATTAAATGTCTTTAATATGGTATCAGAGAGGGCCTTGAATAGAGAGTGGGTTAAGTTCTTTGCCAGTTGAATTTGTCGGCATGCAGGTCTTTCTAATAATTTGTTAGCCACGTGCGAACCTGGACCTACGTGAGGGAGTGTGTAGAGAGTTTGTATCCTACATCAAAAGATTAGGGTCATCCTAGGAAGTCTGGATACTCGCTGGAGTGTCGACGTGGCAGTTCTGTGCACTTGTCCGACATGGATATACGTGGGACACGGCCGAACACTTGTCCGACACTTCGAAAAGTGTCCTAAACAGAAATAAAAACAAAACTTACTCGGATACGGCTAAGATACATGGAGGATATGGGAGGGACATGTATGGGATACTTCGGGGATACGATGGTTTGTTTTTTTGTTATTTTAAAAAGTTTAGGGGTTGAAAAAAGAAGGAAGAGGAAGACCAGAGAAAGGGTCATCCACAGATCTGAAGAGACGTCAACCCCTTCTTCTTCAATAGATCACGTTCAGATTTGGTTCAGGTATGTCTTCCTCTTCTTCTTGCTTCTTTTTCTTCTTATTCTCTCCTTCTACTTCTTCAATTCTCCAGCAAACTTCGAGATGCCACCAGACCAAACCTACTCGCTCTCTTTCTTTCTCTCACTCTTGATTTGAACAAATTGTTCCTTTTTAAAATATTTTTCTTCTTTTATAGTATAATCTGTTTATTAGTTGTCAAATAGATTAGCCCACTATCTAATTTGGTGTTTAGTCCACTGCGCAATTGTAATATATTAGCCCAAAAATTTGATATTAGCCCATTATCCAATTGTAAGATGTTAATCAAATACTCAATGTAAAATAGGTCTTATTATTAATGTTGTTATTTATATAAAATGTATATTATATTATTTTAATTAGCCGTATCCTTGTCGTACTCATGTTCTATATTTTGGAATTTTGCTCTATCCCCGGTGTTTATATCATATTGGATACGAAACCTGTCTTCATATCTGTTCTTCTTAGGGGCCATCCAAGGTTGGTTTATATGGTTGAGAGCATCTCCAGTTGTTGCCAGTGGTTTTGGGTTGGATGCCCCTAACTCTTTGCACACTTGAGAATATGCTGTCTTAATAGGATTTCCTTAAAAAGCATAACCACATGACTATTTGCTCTGGAAGAAATCAACCCTAGTTGTCCATCAGATTGCTTGAATAATATGAGGGAAAAAACAGATGAATTGGTAACCACCATCTTTCACAAGTAGACACATAACAACCGGATGAAACCAGGTATGTGAAACCTATAAATATTGTATTTGCTGTTGTTATCTTTATGCTTCTGTGGAATAGTGTATGTAGTCTTAGGAGTCTGCTAATACAAGAAGACAGTATGGAATCAACTTACATTGTAAGGGTCTAGTCATTTTTGGTACCTTCATTTTTTGTGTAGCATGGGCTTGCAGTGTAATTTGGTACCTTCATTCTAGTCATTTGTTATCTCTTGGAACACTGCATTCATTTTTTTCTCTTTGAAAAAACTGGTTGCAGGTTATAGCAGAAAGGCTTTCAGAAGAAGAAATTGGAGGTTTAAAACAGTTGTTCAAGATGATTGACACAGACAATAGCGGGACGATAACTTTTGAGGAACTGAAACATGGGTTGAAAAGAGTAGGCTCTGAACTAACAGAGTCAGAGATCAAGGCTCTTATGAATGCGGTACGTAGACTATCCTGAAAATGCCTAGGAATTTTTTCATTTTCAAATGATCTTCTGCTTGAATGAATGCCTCACTCTGAGAACTTGACAGGCTGATATTGACAACAGCGGCACAATTGACTATGGTGAATTTCTTGCTGCTACCTTGCACATGAATAAGATGGACAAAGAGGAGAATCTTCTTGCAGCCTTCTCTTTCTTTGACAAGGATGGTAGTGGCTACATAACAATTGATGAGCTTCAACAAGCTTGCAAAGATTTTGGTCTAGGTGATGTTCATCTGGATGAGATGATCAAAGAAATTGATCAAGACAATGTGAGTCTCTTTAGCTACATCATAATTTTAGTGCCTTGGATATTGCAGCATAATGTGTTCTTTGCCCGTTCATATGGTCTTTATTAAGTGTGACAGCATTCATGCCTCTACCTATTTATGAGGTATCTAAGGAGTTACTGTTACTTTTTTCTAGCTGTATCAAGAAGTCAAAAGCTTAGGGTTTCAACGTTTTTGATCAAGTATAGGGGAATCACTTTTTCTTTTGTGGAATTTGGGTTGGGGTGATCATTTTAAATGAAGGCCCCCGAGTGTTTGATTGATTCACTGGAATTGGTATATCAGTGATATAAAGAACTAAATTGTTCATCAGGTCAAGGATCAAAATATCGTTTCGAAACTGTCAAAATGTTTCCGTTTCTAAGAAGACCGAAACGAATCAGTGATGGAATCAAAATTCTAATTTTTCAAAGTGTTCAATAATGTTTCGAAATGTTTTGTTATATTTCAATGTATTTGCACAAATATTTCGGAATCTTTGAAGGTATTTCAAGATATTTTAGTATATTTCGACTAATATTTTAAAAAAATAATTTTTAATTTTTTAATTTTTTTTTTCATTCTGTTTTTGAAAATGGATCAAAACGTTTCCGAAGTACATCAAATCGTTGACTGAAACAATGCACCGAAATTAAATTTTGATCCTTGCATCANCGTTTCCGTTTCCAAGAAGACCGAAACGAATCAGTGATGGAATCAAAATTCTAATTCTTCAAAGTGTTCAATAATGTTTCGAAATGTTTTGTTATATTTCAATGTATTTGCACAAATATTTCGGAATCTTTGAAGGTGTTTCAAGATATTTTAGTATATTTCGACTAATATTTTAAAAAAATAATTTTTTATTTTTTTATTTTTTTTTTCATTCTGTTTTTGAAAATGGATCAAAACGTTTCCGAAATACATCAAATCGTTGACTGAAACAATGCACCGAAATTAAATTTTGATCCTTGCATCAGGTAGAAGTTTGTGACAGTGAGAGGAAATAGTGTATTTGGGATTTTCTTTTTCTAGTTTATAAGCTAATAATATTGGCATAACTCCCAAAGTTGCTGGAATCTTTCTTCGAGTATAAATGCCGGCCTAGTGCACAATGCTCCCACCACTGCATGGTCCTGGAAGAACCTTATTGTTGCATGAAGGCCCACCCTCAATCTTTCCCAAGTATGAAAGATGATGTTTTGTGATATAATTTACTAATCCATGATGCCTTCCAAGCTAAATCCCAAGGCAGTTTGTGAATTTTGATTTGCATAGGTGTACTGGTATTCCAACAGAAGTACTAAGCAAAATAGTAGTGATAAACTTCAACTTATTTTTCCATGTCTAGGAGCGCCCTCCGTTTGTTAGGAGTGCAAATGGTTAAATCTGGGACATTTTTGCAGGCAGCATCCATCATGTAGTCTTATTATGATGTAGCATCTGCTGATCCTTAGCCACAAAGCTAGTTAAGGCAGTCTGTTGCATCATCAAACATCTATGAGAATGATCTTTTGAGATAATGAGTATTAGCACATGGAAATAGCCGCAACTGCTAGATTCTTTTAATATCCAGTAGAATAAAATTACTTTTGTCAAAGTGAAATGCCTAGGAAAAAGAAAATTAAAAAAAAGAGGTTGGACACGTTATAGTAACCAAAGCAATACCAATATGTATTAGATATAGTTGAAATTAAAGATCTTGAATTCTACGGTTTAGAGTAGAGAATAGTCAAGAAAGAAGAAAAGAGAGCGAAGAGCGATTAGAAAGTAGGGATGAGATGCCTATCCTCTCATCACCCTATTTATACTAATTCATAATAAAATACAGATTACAATAATACCCTTAATTAAAATAGCTAGACTTTCTACATTCCCCCTTAAGTTGGAGCATTGATATCTTTCATGCTCAACTTACATACATCTGAATGAAAAATTCTACTACTAAGCCTCTTAATAAACACATCAACTAATTGTTCCTTGGACGTCACAAAGGGCATACAAATCAACCCATTATGTAGCTTATCTTTAATGAACTGTCTGCCAATCTCAATATGTTTTGTTCTGTCATGCTAAACTGAGTTTTGAGCAATATTTATGGCAACTTTATTATCACAATGCAAGCGCATAAGTTCACCACTAGAGAACCAAGTCTTCCATTAAGGTTTTCAGCCACATAAGCTCACAAATACCATGAGTCATAGCCTTGTATTCTTCCCCTACACTAGATCTAGCCACCATTGTTTGCTTCTTGCTCTGCAAGTAACTAAATTTCCTCCTACAAAGGTACAGTAACCTGTAGTGGGTCTCCTATCCTCAATTGAGCCTGCCCAATCGACATTTGTGAAGGCCTCTAATCTCAAATGATCTTACTTTGAGAATAATATTCCTTTGCTTGGAAATAATTTGAGATACCTCAGTATACAATGAACTGTTTCTTGATGAGAAACTCGAGGAGCATGCATGATTTGGCTTACAACATTCACATGAATTGGCTCACAATACTCACTGCATATACTATATCTGGACGGGTGTGAGAAAGGTATATACGTCTCCTAATAAGTCTTTGATATCTTCCTCTATTGACTTGATCACTTTCATCACTTCTCAGTCTGTGGTTTGATTCAATAGGTGAGTCTGCTGGTCTACAACCTAACATGTTGATTTCCTTCAAGAGATCAATGATATAATTTTTATGTGATATGAAGATGCTTTTATCTGATTTGACCACTTTAATCCCTAATAAATAGTGTAAACGTCCCAAATCCTTGATCTGAAATACTTTAGCAAGGTTGACTTTCAGTATGGGCATTTCTTCCACATCATCACCTAGAAGTATTATGTTGTCAACATATATTATAAGAATTGAGATCTAATTGCTCCCTCGTTTGATGAATATCTTGTGATCTGCATGATTCTGCTTGTTACCTAAATTTGACCATTGCCTTATGGAATTTGTTAAACCAAGCTCTAGGAGACTACTTTAGTCCATAAAGGGATTTTTTTAACTTAAATACTTTTCCCTTTGTAGCTAAAATTGAAAAGTCCGGAGGAATATCCATGTACACTTCCTCCCCCAAGTCCCCACGAAGGAATGTATTCTTTATATCCAAATGTTGTAAATCGCTTTTGAGATTGGTAACACAAGAAAGGATGACACGAATGGAATTCACCCTCGCCACAGGAGCAAATGTCTCTTGATAATTAATGTCATATGTTTAAGTAAATCTCTTAGCTACTAGCCTTGCTTTATATCTCTTCATTGTACTTTCTGAATTCTGCATGGCAGTGAACACCCATTTATAACCTACTGATTTTTTTTCTGACTGGTGTATCATTTTTTTCCGAAGTTCTCATTTCTTCTATCATGGTTGATTTCCACTTAAGTTTTGCAAAGACTTTAGTCCAACTCTGAGGAAGAGATATAGAAAACAAAGACAAAATTAAAGCACAATAGGAGGAAGACAAAGAGTTATAAGAAATAAATTTAGAAATAGGATTTGGGTACAAGTCCGAACTCCTTTCCGAATAGCAATAAGTAAAGATCTATCATCAAAAGGATTCCTGCAAAGAAGCTCATTACCTGATATAGAGAAAAACATCTCAGAAGCTAAGTTTGAAGATGATGATTGACTTTTTGGCTCATGGGTGGTGGTCTGCTTAGCTTGTCATCAATTATAGCATCACAAATTATCCCTATATAATCTTCTACAAGTCGTATACTCCCCCTGAACAAGTATCTCTCCCTAAGGCTTGCGCTGACTAGATTTCTCTCCCCAACTCAAGTATTGATTAGGAGGTAAGAGAAGAAATCTATCCTCTAGCATCTCTTCTTCAATACATTGTTCCCCTGAAGAGATGGAGAGGAGAATTACGACTTTGTCTCATAGAATGTGACGTCTATACTAACATACACCTTCTAGGACTGAGAATGATAGCACTTATACCAATAGAGTAGCCATAAAGACATAACACAATGCCTTTGGACCTAACTTTCCTTTGGTCCTTTAATAATCATGTACAAAACACACACAACCAAACATATTTGGGGGAATGAAGTAAAAGGAAACTGACCCTTGAAGCAACCCTATAGGAGTAGCAAAATCAAGGACTCTTGAGGGCATCCGATTTATGAGATATGTAGCAAGCAACACTTTATCTCCCCAAAAGGACCGAGAGACACCCATAGTTAACATCAAAGAGCATGCCACTTCAAGGAGATGTCAATTCTTCCTCTCTGCTATACTATTTTGCTCAGGTGTATCCACACAACTAGATTGGTGAAGAATTTCATGTACTATAAGATAAGCCCGAGATTTTTCATTAAAGTACTCAGTCCCATTATCAGTCCTAATAGCCTTAATTTTGGTATCAAATTGAGTATCTATCAATTATATGAAAATTTTTGAAACAAGTAAACACTTCATTCTTGCTATGCAATAGATAAACCTAGGTAAACCGAGTGTAGCAGTCAATAAAAGTAACCAACTGTTGATATCCAATAAGAGAAACAACACAAGATAGTCCCCAAACATCAGAATAAACGAGTAGTGTTTCTATTATTATTATTGTTAAGATAANTGAGTGTAGCAGTCAATAAAAGTAACCAACTGTTGATATCCAATAAGAGAAACAACACAAGATGGTCCCCAAACATCAGAATAAACGAGTAGTGTTTCTATTATTATTATTGTTAAGATAAGAAGTTCTTGTATGCTTGACAAATTCACAAGTATCACAAAGAAAATTATCTTTATTACATTATTTTACCAAAACTAATTTTTTTTTTTCTNAAGAAGTTCTTGTATGCTTGACAAATTCACAAGTATCACAAAGAAAATTATCTTTATTACATTGTTTTACCAAAACTAATTTTTTTTTTCTAATACTCCTACTGATAGATGACCGAGTCTTCGATGCTATTGATGTAATTGTTGGAGAGCCAGATAATTAGTAGCCAGAAGTGCTTGACAAGGTTGATCCTCTAGCAGATATAACTCACCATTAGCTTTACCATTGTCAATCATTCTCTCCGTTCCCAATTCCTAAAAAACACAATGAGATGGGAAGAATGTTACAAAGCAATTTAGAAATTTTGTGATGCTATTGATAGAGAGTAAGTTAGTTGAAAAGTTAGGGACATGAACTAAAGATAAAGACATAGATGGAGAATAATGAATGGAACATTTCTCCGATACAAATGACAATGAGTCATTTGCTACTCTAACTTTATATTTAACATGTGAAATTAGAGGAGAAANAGATGGAGAATAATGAATGGAACATTTCTCCGATACAAATGACAATGAGTCATTTGCTACTCTAACTTTATATTTAACATGTGAAATTAGAGGAGAAAAGACTCGAAGAACTTGTTATACGGTCAGTGGCTCCGGAATCGATAATCTAAGGAATAGGGGAACGAGATACAGTAAAAGCACTAGNTCTACTCTAACTTTATATTTAACATGTGAAATTAGAGGAAAAAAGACTCGAAGAACTTGTTATACGGTCAATGGCTCCGGAATCGATAATCTAAGGAATAGGGGAACGAGATACAGTAAAAGCACTAGAATGTATACTTGTGTGAGCAAAATTGAAAACAACAGAATTGGAAGAAAATGCAGAGGAAGTATCAAAGCCGGGCCATCAGACGCTCGAGAGTCTGCATCTTATTTGTTGTGAAACTTGCACTATCAATACCAGTAGATGGAGATGGACTGCTGCAGGTACGATCAACAATCTTAGTTAAATAGACATATGAGTGCACATGATCAGCCCTATTACAACCACGTCCCTTAGAAGGACAACCATACAACTTCCAATAATGGTCTTGAGTGTGTCTCATCTATACACAGTTTTGACATTTTAACAGATCTTTTCAATTGCTCCCATTTTTACCCTCACCATGAGGTTGAAATGATTTAGTCTCTCTNCATACAACTTCCAATAATGGTCTTGAGTGTGTCTCATCTATACACAGTTTTGACATTTTAACAGATATTTTCAATTGCTCCCATTTTTACCCTCACCATGAGGTTGAAATGATTTAGTCTCTCTCTGTTGAACAACTACTAGACTAGACCGATCATGAGCAGGATTATGAAGCATAACACTCCTCGTACGCTCCTCTTACTGCACATAAGCATATGGTTGCCTCAAAGAAAGAAAAAGATCTCTACCCAAAACTAGTATATGGATTTGATCATACCCCATATTAAGGCCTACAAGAAAATCACATACTCATTCCTTTTTTATCATCCTCTAAAACTTAGCATTGTCTCTAGCACAGTCTGGTTGAAAATCCTGGTAATAATCCAGCTTCTGCCATAGACTACTCACTCTTGCATTCCTTTATTTTGTTTCATGAATCTTCTTCCAGAGCTCATAAATTTGGGCATCATTCTCAACTTGTGATTATGTCTGAGCCACCGTTGGCCAAATCTCACAAGCTGTCTCAAAAAATAGAAAACCATGGCTAATGTGAGACTGCATCAAGTTGAGTAACCATGTCATTACTAACGAATTCTTAGTGATTCACCGACTAAGATCAGGTTTAGATTTGGGTTTTGTACGTGCTCTAGTCAAGTATCCATTGAGCCCACTAGACTGGCATGATTGAAACCACGACAAATAATTGCCCCCATCCAATTTTACTACTGGAATGATTTGGAAAGAAGAGTTGTATCCTAGACTTGCATGACTCACCTCACCTTTCTCAGTGCTAGTAGATTATGCACTAACTTTAGACATATATACTCAACAACAAAGAATTTTTCTAACACAATCCAACTACTAAATAGCTATTTTATTAACCCAATAAAAAAAAGGCCAAACTAGCCATTGGCACTATCAAAATACCTTCACAGCAAAAAACACAAATCCCAAACCTGGAGGGCATAAGCAAGTCTTTGCTGAGTGTCAAACATCCCCGCTGGAGCTGTAGAAACACTCTTGAGGCCAAACGCCACTGCCCGGAGCCGAACACTATTGGAGCAAGGAAAAAAACACTGTTGGAGTAATATGCCATTGGATCAAGAAGACCACTACCTGAGCAGGAAAACTCCATTATCGGAGCTAAAAAATGACTGCCAATCCTCTTAAATGCCCAGAAACTCAATGGGCTATGCACAAAACTCAACCACAACTCCTAGAAGACCTAATCGACACTCATAGGTTGCATTCGAGTGGTTGGAATGGTCACAAACTCCGCCAAACAGTAGATCGCGAAAAATGATCTGTAAATTCGAAAAAAAAAAATCAAAATTCAAAAAAATGCATCGATGGTTTCAAAAATTTTTTAAAAAATCACCATAATACTCGGGAGGCAAACCGACTCAGACCATGTCGAGTTTGGTCGTCTGCAATAATGACGTCATCTTTCCAGCGATGATCATAGTTGTTAGTATCGTACGATACGCGATATGTATCGTACGATACGTCACGATACAGGGCCAAAACGATACGGATCGTAGTTATGTATCATTTTGGCTTCGTATTGTCTGTACATGATACGTTTTTACGATGCGATCGATACGTGCAAAATCTTTTTTTTTTTTTAAGAAACGACGTCATTTTGGAATAGGTAGACTGCTTTTTTTATCCCTATAACCACTGAANATGTATCATTTTGGCGTCGTATTGTCTGTACATGATACGTTTTTACGATGCGACCGATACGTGCAAAATCTTTTTTTTTTTTTTAAGAAACGACGTCATTTTGGAATAGGTAGACTGCTTTTTTTATCCCTATAACCACTGAAATGACTTCGTTTCAGTGGCTAGGGTTTGTAAAAACAATAAAATCCCTCTTTTATTTCTTTGTTCAGCGACCGTCCTCGATTCTGCCCCCTGGGTGTTCTTGAGCCGACGACGATTATCACAGAAGGCTCCTTCTTCCATCGAAGCTGCCTTCGCTGTTTGCTGTTCAGCCGACGAAGACGATCACAAAATCTGCTTGTTGTTTGCTGTTCAGCCGACGAAGACGATCATAGAAGTTGCCTTCGTTGTTCACTGTCTTCGAATCGCTGGTCTTCCACGACGATCACAGCTGCCTTCTCTCTATTTTTCCATCTAAGCCATCGAAGGCCAGTCTCCATTGAAGCTGTGTTCTTCTTCCTTCTCCAGGTACTCCAACAAACCAAACCTGTGGTCCAGTCCTATGCAATGGAAGCAATGATGTTAATTTATTTATAAAGCCAAATATATATATATATATATATATATATATATATATATATATATATATATATATATATATATATATATTAGTGAACTATGGTTGTGAATTTTGCATTATAGTATTAGTGAATTATATTGATGACTTGAATAATTTGTGGGGTATTAATGAAATTCTATATTTTTATGAGTGTGTGTTTTTTTTTCAAAGGTATATATATTTTGTGATTTAGTGGGCCACCATTGAGTAGTTCACATGGGAATTAGAGCAAGAAATGCTTTACTTCTCTCCAGTTGTAACTGGTTGAGCCTAAGGAGCCAACCCTTTTTTTGCATAAGAGATCAAGGNATGCTTTACTTCTCTCCAGTTGTAACTGGTTGAGCCTAAGGAGCCAACCCTTTTTTGCATAAGNGGGAATTAGAGCAAGAAATGCTTTACTTCTCTCCAGTTGTAACTGGTTGAGCCTAAGGAGCCAACCCTTTTTTTGCATAAGAGATCAAGGACAAGTTCCCCTAGCCAGATTCATTGATCCAGAACAACAGGTCGTGATGCTAACATTTAGTATTACTTAATTAACAACTAGTCGAATTCAACAAATTAGGGAATTGAATGGGGGCTGAAGTAGCAGTATGCAATGCAACAAAGTTACGACTACTGAGCATGGCATTAGGGTGGGGGTAACGAAAGCTGGGGCGAGACCCGTAGCTCTATTCCTCTCCAACCTTTTCAATCGGTCATTGGAAATAAGATAAGTGACTCTGTTACTTTCTTATGAAAGAAGTGGGATAGGCGACCAGATGCTTCCTCCATATCAACGTCTCTATTTTAAAAATTATCTTTTCTTTACCGGGTCAAGACTAACATACCTACTCTCACTCCTATTGGTGCCAAGAGATCGATACCCTATTCCCCAACAATGTGCTAATGTGCTATGTCGTTGTGTCTTGATATGCACAAAGTTTGGTTTAAAATTTCAGGCAGAGGTAACTTTGTCCAATGAGCTATGTGGTTGTTTCTTCAAATGAATGAAGTTTGGTTTGAATGTTAGGCAGGGGTAATCTTTGTCATTGATTCCCTCGTTTTTCTGATGATTTATGTGAGGGAATGGAACCTTTTGGTTCTTTTTTTGTATTGTTATTCATCTTTGAATCATTTTCTAGCCACAGTAAATTCTTTCTTACTCGTCATATTTTTGCATGCAATGGTTCCTATTAAATTAAAAATCTTTTTCCTTATCAGCAGACGTTTGAGTTACTTGTATATGTCATAGAAAAAGAGGAAATATAAGAATTCTTTCATGCAATGTACACTGTGTGGGTATCCTTGACATGATCTGGATACTCTTTTCCTTTTGCCGGCTGCCTTTGTTAGTGGTACTTTAATGAATGTTTAAGCGAAAAAATGCAGAAACACTGTCCCTAAGAAAGGAACTTCGGNTCTGGATACTCTTTTCCTTTTGCCGGCTGCCTTTGTTAGTGGTACTTTAATGAATGGTTAAGCGAAAAAATGCAGAAACACTGTCCCTAAGAAAGGAACTTCAGTATAAGAAACAGTAAGATAATTTAGTGCACCATTGGCATCACCAAGAAACTAAGGCAGGGCTAGATTTGGTGACATCATATGTAATAATTCGATGACCTTCCCACGAATAGCTTTCCTGCGATTTTAACTAGTTGGCATTCACACAAATACGTGTAATCTATTTTAGATCTACCAAAATTCTTATATTGACTTTCTGCAAGCTGTCAGCTGCTGGATCATCCCCCCTTCCCCTGTCCTTTTCAAAAACTGCATTTCTTGTTTCAACCACCATATGGCAATTGGATTGAGTTACAAGGAGAAGTAAGGAAATAGCTTATATAGCATACCCATCAGAAAGAATCTCATCAAATCCCATGGGTAGGTAGCGTAGTTTGTAAACTGCGGAAGTGGTTGGGCATGGCATTAATGCATATATTAATGTGTTTATATAGCAAGTTATTATATATTCTACTAAAACTAATGACATAATATAGGTACTGCCCGTAATTTGTGATTTGATTTATGACCATACCCCTCTATTGATAAGCACTATAACAGAATTTTACAGGTGTTGGTTTAAAGATTAGTGTTTTATGCTATTGCCCTGTTTGTTCTTGTTGCTAAGAACTAGAACAGAATTTTCTTTACGTGAACTCCTGCATCATGAACAAAGGTTTTGTTAGTCAACACACACAACTACTAGAATATGTGGTGTTGATAACATATGTAAAATCAGATGACATGCATACCATGCACCAAGGCACCTGGGGCCAGCACGTTCAGTGGGCCAATGGGTTAGTTCTGTTGTCCAATTAATCTGAGGGAAACTTTATTTTGCAATTATGTCCATAATAATATGACACATTTTTGCTGTCCTCTTTGTAATATACTTGTATTTAAAGTAATTGTCATATTATTATTTTGACACTAGGTTTTACTGCCTAAATTGAATATCATTCCAAATGGCCTGATCTTCAGGCAATCACTATAAATTTTCTACATCTCATTGGTCTGTGTTCAACTTAGATATACAATTTTTTATTCTTCTTCAGGTTATCCTGAATAAGGTGCTGCTTGTTGGAACAAAAACCAGCACATACATAGGAAAACCAGTGGTGTCTAATGCAGTGGTACATGCTGTGGTTGAAGAACAGGTAGTTCAATGCTCCATGAATACTCTCTCTCTCTCTCTTTCTTTATATATATATATATATATATACACATACATATATGTATATGTGGGTGTGGGTGTGTGTGTCACCACAACTCTTAACTGTTATTCTGACCATGTAGGGATTGAATAAGAAGGTCATTGTCTTCAAGTATAAGAAGAAAAAGAACTACCGCAGGAACATTGGTCACCGACAGGTAGAAAAGAGTTCTTCACTCGTATTTCACATTTGACTTAGGCAGATAGAATTCATTGCATCAATACACAAATTGCTGAACTCAAAAGGCAAAGCTGGCCAATTTGAGCTAGTAATTTGTCTCACTTGTATATGAAATCGGGAAGGATGGTATAAATTGCATGCATACTACTTTTGCTCAACTTATTAGGTTGCCAATATGTGCTAGTATTGNACTACTTTTGCTCAACTTATTAGGTTGCAAATATGTGCTAGTATCGTATCTCATTCCTATATGATTTTAGAAGAGACTGATAATTAGATGCCCTTCCCATTTCTTAACCTATTCCCGACAGTTTTGATGTTTTCGTGACTTTTACAGCCAAATACGCGGATAAGGATAATAGGCATCACGGGTTATCAGGACTCACCAGCAGTCACTCTGTCATAGGTCTTCTCTTAGAGGTTCCAAATTCTTGCTGAACAATACATCAAAATGAATTTTTCTTTTTTATCCACTTGTACTTGTATGTTGGCTCTTTTTTGAGAATGCGTAGTGTCCTTTGGAAGCCTTGTTGATTGGCATGTAAGTGTCGACTGCATCGAACGTTTGGAGGCTGTTTCATAATCTCGAGTTTGAGAATTTTTTTTTCTTTCAATTTTATGGTTTCTAAAATTCTGTACATTTTGAAAGACATTCACACCTACTCGAAAAGTGACTATAGTTTGATGATTTCATGGTTTTAGAAGATGAAACTGTATCTAAAATGTCTGAGGCTAGTGATGAAATAGCTTGTGGGATCATATAGAATTAGACATGTAATAATTGCAGCTTTCATTCAACTTGATTTTGAATTTCTTAAGAAAATGGATTAGAAGAAGAGATGATTTAATATTAGATGATGATATAAGAAAGGGGAAATTATTTTTACCTCGCCTGAGGTTTGGTCAAATAACAATTAGACCCATTCTTGTTTGGAATATTACACTGCTCTCCCTTTTACTTTGGTTGTCGGTAACATAATCCCTCCACTGTTAGTCTTCCGTGAGGGATTCTTTAACAGTTTGATGATGTAAGCCATATATAATTTCAAAATACCAATTTTGTCCCTATAAATCTTATAGACGTACAAAATATGCTTGTTTCCAAAAATAACCCATTCTCTCTCTCTACACCCACAAACAACGAGCTTCATCTCTCTTTCTACACTCACTCTATGAACAGTCAACCCAAGCAGCCTCCCGCACCATCACGCACCTTGGCTCAACCACCACAATGGATGAAGATGGCAAAGTCGAGGACGAAAGCGAAGGCAAAGACCGATGCCTCTCCAACTTTATCCCGTGCAACAAACGTGAAGGTGATAGTCCCATATCTTCGACTTAATCTAGCACATCCAACCTGACAATCCTTGCATCGTGATCATCGATGCAAGGGTGGTGGGCAGTGGTGGTGGTGTCGTGGGTTTTAGAGATTTGGTGTTGGTGGTCATCTAGGTTGAATTTTAATTGAATTTGATTGATTTTTTGTGGAATTTTAGTTGTCAGGTGAATTAGTTAAATTGCGAAAAATTAGTGTAAATAAATTGGGAAGATTTGTGCAAATAAATTAGGTGTAGATGATGTGCAATTGTGTGTGCGCCTGTGGTGGTGGTGGCCAAGAAATAGTTTAGATGGTGGTGGTGGTGGCTGGTTAGATGGTGGATGGTGGTTATGGTTAAAATGAGGAAGATGACTTTTAGCAGAGAAGAGCCAGAAGGCTATTATAGTCCTCTACCCAATTCTATCATTAAAATGAGACGGACTTTACTAACAGGGGAAGGCAGTGTTATTTTCCAAATAAGAGGTCTAATTGTTATTTGACCACACCTTAAGGGAGGTGGATGTAATTTAGAAATGGTCTTGAAGGATAACTTTGGTTGAACGCATCTGTGGTAAGCTTGAAGTTCACGTTTTCCAGATGGAATCATGGCAAGGGAAGATGTCAGTGGCTTGCAAACTTAAAGATTATGAAAAATAAAATAAAAATTCATCATCATCTTCTTCTTCTTCTCTCTCTCTCTCTCTCTGTCTCTCTCTCTCTCTCTCTCTCTCACACACACACACACACAGAAACAGGATAAACCTGAACCAACTGAACCACAAGTTCTAAGCAACATAGCAAAGGAAATACTTCCAAGTATTTATTTTAGATAGGACAATTGAGATCTCAATTGCATTTTGGAAGCCATAGGAAAGGTGCTTATCATGCATTAAAATCATGACATACAAAACAAGGGTAAGCGCAATGTGTGACTAATGAGCAACTTAAGAGGAAAAACATGAGATTAGAAATTCACAAACGGTTTGTAGATCCCACTTTTGAGAGATACTTTGAGTAGGGGTGACTATTAAATTTTGTCGTGTTATTTTGGGTTTGTGCGACTCATTTTAGTATTGTGTTAGATGTTCGGATACTAATTTTCATGTGTGTCGTAGATGGCTCGACACAAATAACCTATGAACTCAGAAATCTAATCCTAGAACTCCTTGCTCTCTTGAACCACACCCACTACCCATGAGCCACCTCCTATAAACAGAAAATACATGTCATCATCCAAATTAATCATAAAAGAATATCCTTGAACTCCAGCGAAATTGATGCCCAAAAGGATGACATCGCAGCAGCAGCCCCGATCCAGTATTAATAAGAGGGGAAACTGATACTACAACTACTCCTTCAATATGCAATAATTCAACATAGTTTCAGCACAGGAGGGTGTTGAGTTTCTTTGACTTATAACCCAATCTCATTTTCTCATACAATGCCATGAAATCAACAGACTACTAAACGCAAAAACCAAATGGGTACCATAGATTAACATTAATGGAGTTTACAACAATGATATTTATCCAATAGATGACTATAATGGCTGACATGATAAATCCTATATTTCCCCTACGTTTAACAATCCATATATCAGTACAATCCAGGATCCCTGGCCCATAGTTATTCACATAATCCCTACAGGGAAATAATTTTGATAAATATACTGAGTAAGCAATGAAAGGAACCTTGTTTGTTTTTAATGGGGTAATTAACCGTCCCGTGTATAGGAAGACAAAATCAACCTGTCCCGCATTCTGACGCATTGGGAAACAAGGTCTTGCAACTCAATCTCCTCAGTTTCGAAGCGTACCAGTCAAGCTTAAGCTCCCACTTTGGCTCCCACTGCTTACCAACAGCCTTCATTCGTATATTCGCTTCTTCTTCAACAGGGTAGGAAGTATGGAGACAGATCCAATGAGGAAAAGCACAGATAAGGTCTTAAAATCATATAGATCTTTGACAGATTTCAGATCACCAAGAGCAAGGCCAGCCTGATAAAATTGGAAAGAAAACATAATTAGGCGGCAAGGCCAGCCTGAAAAGACTCAACAAGAGGCACAATTAGGTTTACAAAAACACCTAAAACAATCCATGTTGATAACCACTACCATGAAACTTCTTCAACAGCACATATGCTAGATTCTTTAGATTAGGCAGGTTCAACCTGTAAATAATCCTAAAATCTTCAGAGAGCTCACTTAGCCTGACAATTAAGTTGCCTCTCTTACATAAGAGAGCTTAAAATAATTACTCTACTATTGCTCGCATCGAATTGATGTTAAACATTTTTTCCACAGGAAGATAAAGTTTCTCTATAGAAAGAAGATAAAATCGGACAAGTATATATAAATGTCAGCAATCAACTCAAATGACAAAAATGAAATGATAGGAGAGACTTACTCTGACAGTAATATAGGAAGCTGGGATAAGACCAATAACGGTTGCCAAAAAGAATATATGGAACGGTATATCGACAATTGGTGATGCTAAATTGATAAAAAGATTTGGCAACGTTGGTGTTATTCTCAAAAAGAGCATGTAATTGAGCAACTTCTCTCTTCGCTTTGCAATCTGAAGCCACAATGTTTAAGGTTAGCATGGTACCAGAATTAAAAGAGGTAGTGGAGAAGCTAACTGGAAGGAAATATAATATATCAGTACAGAAATTGGAAAAAATAGTGGCAAAGTACCTCTGCCTGGAAAAATCTCAACTTTTCAGGCCAAAGCCAGGTAACTATAGGTCTGCCAATTAACTTAGACAGAAAGTAGCAGGATGATGCACCAGCTGTAGCATTAAAGACAACCAAGAATAGCCCTCTGATAACACCAAACAGTGCTCCAGCGAGCAATGACATGAAAATAGTGCCAGGAATCATGAATGACTGCATGAATATGTAAGTTGAGCAGTAACCGAGAATGAATTTTGCTGGGTAAACTCTCGCATATGTCGCAAGATGATCTCTGGAAAAAAAGTTAAAACCATATATTTCAGGGAAAGCACAATGGAGTTCAGCATGATGACATAAACCAGCAAAACTCAAAACAAAAATCCTTCAACAAATGAATTGGCATTAAAAACCTCTTAGGACAGATTGGAAAACCATATGTGATTTGTAATTTGATTTTATCTCTCTATTTTAATGTTTTGGTTTCTTCTTTATTGATGAACTCCTTGCCAATCACTCCCATGTACTCTTCTCTATTCCATAATAATTGCTAATGAAAACCTTAAAAACCTCTACTTAACATCATGTATTGGACTATCTCGTTGAAAAGATAATCATATCATTACTTGGCATTCACACACACAAACATACACAAAGAAATTCCCTCAGTAGTAATGCCAAAGAACTGTAACTCTAGCATGTATAGATGGCAGGGAAAAAACAGATGTGAGAGAGAGAGAGAGAGAGAGAGAGTGCTACAACAACATGAACTTGTCAGTTCTTCATCCAACATCTTAGGATCCTAACAGCTTAGGGAAGCAATTTTAGATATGGTACCTTAACAAGAAAGAGCCAACACAAAAGTAATGGAATAGGATGGCTATTGTTTGACCCAAATCTTAAACTGACACAACATGCTAACATGAATAATAAATAGGTCTAGTTCATGTCCTGTTTCCAAAATTCTAACCCCTTGAGATTGAAGACAACATACAATTACGAAATTTCATTGAAAGGAAAGCATGATGTTGAATGTTAAATTTTATTTTTTTTTTCTGTTCAAGAGGGACTTCCTCAATTTTTTTTTTTTTTTTCTCAGGAAATATAGGCTTCAAAGAAGAAAGATGTTTTCTTCATCTAAGGATTTTAACCAAACCCACCCGAAACAAAGAAAATCAAAAAAGAGAATCAAAATCCTCCCAATTTAATACAACAGTAAACAGTACCAATTCTGAATGAAGAAAACTTCAAACTAATCTTCCGTGAATATCCTAAAGAACACTAATTTAATTGCAGAGTTTCTACAATTTGTGGAGTCATGCATCCCGTGGGACTGGCTCCCTCTATGGAATCTCTTCAACATTTTTTTTTCAAATGCATTCAAATGCATATTACACACAATCAAAATTTATAGTCGAAGTAAACCTTCACATGTCCTTACATCTAAAACCCATACAAAACCTGCTACTAATCTAAACTCTTGTTCAATTCGACACAGCAAAAAAAACGGTTATACTGATATTCAGATAAGAACTCTTGAATAGGGAGCTCCACTTGTCTAAGCAATACCAGGTACTTAAACACAAAAATAGAACACATAAATGATATAACAAGAACATATATGGACCACAGTACATACATATTCACTGAAAGCACTAGCATGAGATAATATTATTGCAATTAATAACAACAAGAAGTGGAAGCTAGTATTTACATGCTATATATACACAAATTAAGTTTTTTTAGTATTACCACCTTTCATCATTTTTCCCCAGCTCAATTTATAAGCTAAAAAATGGACATTAAATCTAAAAAAAAAAAACCACTAGAGCATTTGAAGTTCTGAAAAATATGATTGGGACAGTTCAAAGAAAAGAAGTCACCACCCACTTTGGTTCCATGCTGGGGAGCTGGACTAGAGAGCGACCAAACCTTTCATTTTTTGCACAAAGTGACAATCTCATATTCGAATTCAACGTTTGAGGATGTTACGACAAGCATTACACAAACTAAATGAATTTCCACAATAAAAATGGCAAGAAGATATGAAAGGTCAAATTATATAAGCTAAATATACGCAAAAACAAATCTAAAAAAACCCACTTGAGCATTCGTAGATCCGAAATCGTACGGGGAAGCTTTAGTTTCCCATACTCGGCAGCTGGCATTGTCAAATAAATGCAGAACAATCCCGTGAAGAAGATCAAGAACACCCCCAAAGCAGCCGTGCATTCCCATTTATTCAAAGGTGATTTGCCCTCCGATTTAATGGGCTTCTTGCTAGTGGGCGAATCGTCAATTCCAACGCTCTTCTCTTCGTCGTCCCTCCCCAACCGCACGGCATCGACAATGAGGCTTCTTGGGGCTGCCATGGAGGATAATAACGCGTCGGGAAGCGAAGAACAGCGCAGGACTTTAACCTTCATTGTGTGAATTCAAGGCCATTAGAGGTGGTTATGAAGTGGCACTGATCTGGGGTCTAGGGTGGTTGTGAAGGTTCGATGAAGGACACCAAATTGAGGGACGGGTGGATTTTGAAGGCTCAAAGATGTGGAATCGAATGACTTGAATAGAAACTGCTATTTCGGGATTGGGGAGAAGACAGATTGGAATAAACCCTAGAGAGAAATTTATAAGGTTGATTTGGGGATTTGAGTTGGTCTGGTTTTAACTTTTTTTTTTTTTTTGTTTGGTGGACAGAGATACAGATACTTAAAAGTGTGCAGGTTTTGAAAGGTGTGATATGATGTATATCCAAAAAAAAGTTATGGGCGGTACTATTTTTATCACCATAAATTTTTATTTTTATTATATTTAATTTTTTATTATTAAATTATTAATAGCATTCTTTTTATATTCATCACATTAATAACTAAGTTCACCCTATATTACATACACTTTTTTTAATAAATAAACTCACTTTATATTTTATCATAATTAGGGTTTTATTCTCTATTCTTCCCATGCACTTATAAAATATTTTTTCAATATGAATTTTTTCAATAAAATTCAGGTTAGTATTAGTTCTCAATTAATTTTTTATGTTTGATTTCATGTTTGTCATATGAATTTTCATTATTTTCAATTTTTTTTGATATTTTTGTCAAGTTTAATAATTTTTTATTTAGAATTTATATGTGTCCAGATATACATATACTTTCATATTATTTGTTCTTTTTTATTTTGTGTCTGTGCTTGATTTTTTTTTTTTTTTATATTTGGTTTTGTGTCTTATAGTTTTGCTTGTTCTTTTAATCTTTGCTTGATTTTTTTTCTTTTTGTTTCGATTTGTTACTTTCTTTTTGTTTTTTTCTTTTTTTTTTCTTTCGGTATGTTTCTTTTTTTCCTTTTTTTTTCTTGTTTCGTTCTTTTCTGTTTTCTTGTTTTAGTATGTTTGGCTTTTTTTACTAATTTTGTATTTTTTTCTTTGCTTGTTTTTTTTGTTTCCTAAATATATTATACATTTAAACTAATTGTCTTCTTTCATTATTTTTTTCTTACGATGATTTCTTTCATTAAAGAGACGTACATAGAATGAGTGAATTTAGTGGAGTGTATATAGCATAGAGTGAGTTTAGTTACTATTGAGGTGGGTATATAAGGGGTGAGGTTAATAATTTGAAAATGAAAAATTAAATAGAATGAGAATGGAGATTTATGGAATGAGAATAAGCCCACCCAAAATTTATAGGTATATTCAGGGGAAAAAAAGTTAATTTGTTCAAAAATTAGATTGTCTTTAACTTTTCTTTTACTTTTTTTTTCACTTTTAGAAGGAAAAAAAAAAAGAAAATACTCTATGCTTATCAATTTTTCATCTCAAATGATGTGACACAATCTCTGTTATTAAACATTAATAGAACTCACTCATCTAATGGTAAAAAACTGTATCACATTATTTGAGATGAAGATTTGGTAAGAAAATTAATAAACTTAGCATTTCTTAGAAAAAAAAATAATGGGTTAGCGGGAAACACTTTTCCTCCAATTTTTCTTCCACTCCTATTTTCATTTGGAACCAAACAATGAAGACTCTTCCTTTCCATCTTATTTTCCTTCCTTTATTTTTTATTCACCTAACTTTCTATCAAACCATACACACTATGAAGGAAAATTGGAGGGAAAATGTTGCCCTCCATTCCACTATTTTTTTTCAAGTGAGAGGAAAATTGAAGACAAACTATTTTTTGGACAAATTGATTTTTTTTTTTTTGGCCTTTGAATATACTTCTAAAAATTATGCCACTATTTTAATTCAAAACCTACAATTTCTCAAGATTTACTTTTAAATATCTTATTATATAATGAGATCACGATAAGAAACCGACAATAAACAACCTTCTCGCGAACAAAATAATAATCAATTGCAACATTTTTAGTCTGAGCATGTAAAACTGGGTTAGCATAGAGGTAAGTGGCGCTTATATTGTCACATCATAAAAACAGGAGAAGTGGAATTGATTGAAGCCAAATTAACTACACAACAGAGTTAGTGGGATTTCGATATTCAGCCTCAGTGCTTGAGTGGGCTATAGTAAATTATTTGTGGGAACTCCATAAAATCATGTTAGACCCAATATATATACAAGAAATATCTAGTAGTGGAGCGATGATCCTTGGGGCAACCAGCCCAATCAGCATCCGAATACATACACACTTAAGGTAGTAGAGCAAAAAGGACAAAAAAGAAGGTCATGATTGATGGTCTACTTGAGATAGCGTAATATACGTTTTATTGTTGAACAATGAGGCACTCTGGGGGAAGACAAATTGGCAGACACGATTAACTGCGAAGGAGATATTGGGTTGAGTCAGGGAAAGCTACTGTAGAGTGCCAGCAGTACTTCGATTCAAATGCACATCAGAAAAAGAGGCACCCTCAATCTTTTCAAGCGGAAGGGAAACAACCATAAGAGAAGTTACGTGCTTGGCAAGATGCATGCTTGAGAAGGTTGAGAATGTAACGTTGTTGGCAGAGATGAAGGCCACCTAAAAAATGCCAAGCTTTAACACCAAGGAAATAATGTAAAAGGCCCAAGTCTTTTACTCCAAAATCACACCACAAGCTATCAATGAAAGAAAAAATGGCATCTTGTCGAGACGAAATCAAAAGAATGTCATCGACATTGACAAGGATAAAAAGATGCACACCGGAGCCATCAGAAATGAACAAGGAGGAATCAACGCAACTTAAATGGTGATGAACAAGACGAAAAGTAAAATCCGTCAATTTTGAAAGTGTTTTGAAGATTATTAAACTAAAGAAATAGTATTAAAAAGAACCGGACAATCTTCGTAGCTCATCTCACAACAAATAAAATTTTTAACTTAATTTATAACTCATTCAAGAACGCTCTGGAACAAAAAATATTGAACTTCAAATCAAGAAAACAACAAATGTGTATTTAAATTGATTGAATTAATTTATGAACAAATTACAATCATGTTGACTACAATGAGTTCAAGAATTACCTGTGTCAAACATAATTGTCTACGGATAAACAAAGAGATATACATATATCAATTATATTTTCAAAATCAATTGTTCAATCAATAAAATAAAATAACGTTAGCATTAAAAACTCTAGTTAGGTCAAACTTCATATTCACAGATGAGAATTTTTTATTATACCGAAAATTGATTACTCACTTATAGGAAAAATAAAATTAAAAATAATTATTAAAGACATGATCATAATCGAAAGAGAAATTTAAATTAAATTGAAATCAACCAAATACCTTGTATTAAAATTAAAACTGTAAACAATTACAAGAAATAGAACCAATCTACTTTCCTTGCGAGAATTAAAGAACTAAAAAAAGACAATACTTTGTAAAAAAAAAAAAAGGAATGAAGAACAGAGAATTGGTAGAAAACCTAAAAAAAAACCCTAAATGCTAAGGTTACAGAGAAGAAACGAAAGAACGAGTGAAAAGAAGTAAATGATCGATCCCCTCCCCCTTGCTCAGCTCCGATTTTTATAGGGAAAATTCAACAAAATTTCCACCCTTTTGTCCACCAATAAAAGCCCTTTAAAATCCCTAGCCGAAAGACATTCCAAAAAGATTCCTCACTAGAATAAAACACAGATGAACTGGTAGAAAACAGGTCCCGACCTACCGGTAACAAAGTTATTGCCCAGAATGAACCGGTAGTTTAGCTTCAATGAACCAGTAGAAACTTTATGTTTCAGATGAACCGGTAGGTTGAATATGAATGAATCTGTAGAAAAGTTTCTGTCTTGAATGAATCGGTAGCACTTCATAGCTACCGGTAGAACTCATTTGGCTGCCTGATGAATTGGAAGAAAATCTACTGGTAGAACCAATGTTTTTCTAAATTTCAACTACAATGCTCCTGGCCCAACTTCTAACTCTCCTAGGTCATCCTCAAAGTCTTCCAAAGAATAACAATCATGTAAAACATTACTATTACTTCAATTCACTTGTATACACAAAAATTCCCTATAAAACATAAAACTAAACTAAAGTAAGACCAATAAATAACAAACAAAGATAAGATGAATGATATGAGACATAAAATATGTAATATTATGCACTCATAAAAGGTATTTTGAATATTAAGTTTGCAAATGTGCTAACCCCGAGAAACAGCAAAGCAAACAAATGATTTGAGGTTTAACGACCGAGCTACAGATCTCATCGTAATCAACAGCCTGTTGTTGAGAGAAACTTTCGGCGACCAAACGCGCCTTATAACGTTTAATAGAACCGTTGGCGTGACACTTTAATTTGAAAACCCACCTGCAGGTAATGATATTCATGGAGGATGTAGCTGGAACCAGACTCCAAGTATTGTTCTGCAGTAAAGCATCAACTTCAAAATTCATGGCTGAACACCATGATGGATGCATCGCGATAGAAGAGTAACAAGTTGGTTCAGTTTCATCAAGTGAAGAAGAGGCCATCATAGCACGGTGAAGAGGATAATCCATCCTTGTATTGCCTTGGTTTGATAATATTGTTACGCAATCAAGTGACCAACGGATGAATGGAATGAGAAGGAGTTGTCGTGGCAAGAGTAGAACATAAGGAGTCCGATGGTGAAGGATCAATAGATGGACAGTCCGCTGAGCATGTGATGTTGTGGTCAAACCCTGGAACATCAAGAGATGTGATAAAGGGATGTGAGAGTCTGAAACAGTAAGTCATTGAGCTAGATTAGTCGCACAATCAACTAATGGAGCATTTGGACCAGGTTGTGGAGAAGCTATGGGCAAGAGCGTCAGATTTTTGGGCAATAGTGCATGAGTTGTGGCTAGAAGTGGACAGTGTGGAGGAGTCCAAGAAGGTGTAGACAAATCTAGAGTATAAGTTGCAGTTGGTAAATCAATAGCAAAGGGAAAGAGAGTCTCATCAAAAGTAACATCATGAGAGACATTAATGCGACCAGGGGCGACGTGCAGACATTTATGCGACCAGAGGCGACGTGCAGACATTTATAACCTTTATGCGAACTGCTATAGCCTAAAAATAAACACTTAATATAACCACGTAGAACAACTCCAAGAGAAATGGTATCAAGGGTGACAACCCCATATGTCACCCTAAATTCAAAAAATTTCATTTCAAGAGGTGGTATCAAGGGTTGAAAAATAGCATCAAACTTTTGGGATAACATTTTTGGTAATTTTGAAAAGAGAAAGGGAGAGGTTGTAAATGGGTTGATGAATATAGATCTGTTAGATAAATATAGATCCAACGANTTTATAACCTTTATGCGAACTGCTATAGCCTAAAAATAAACACTTAATATAACCACTTAGAACAACTCCAAGAGAAATGGTATCAAGGGTGACAACCTCATATGTCACCCTAAATTCAAAAATTTTCATTTCAAGAGGTGGTATCAAGGGTTGAAAAATAGCATCAAGCTTTTGGGGTAACATTTTTGGTAATTTTGAAAAGAGAAAGGGAGAGATTGTAAATGGGTTGATGAATATAGATATGTTAGATAAATATAGATCCAACAANTGTAAATGGGTTGATGAATATAGATCTGTTAGATAAATATAGATCCAACGATTCATATAGATTGATAAATAAAAATATAAAAATAACACCTCATTTTGGCACTTGCCACTGAAACAGATTTATAATTCAGAAATGTTAAAATATTGTTCAAAGTTACAAATAAATGATTTGACACCCTAAAATAGAAACTCTATTTGGAGTTGCTCTTATGCTTCGTGTAAGGATGAAGATAGGGCCAACATGCATAACCAAAGTTTTGAGAAAAAGGTAAACGGAGAGGGAAGGCGTAAGGCAAGGGAAGGAAAGCAATTTATTAGGTAACAAGTAGTTAGAACGGCCTCTTCCCAAAAATGGGAGGGAACCGAAGTGGTAGCCATTAACAAAAGACCCGTTTCAATAATATGACGATACTTTCATTCAACGAAACCATTCTGTTGGTGAATGTGAGGACAAGTAAGACGAGGGCTTATGCCAAGTGATTGATAGTATTTATTTATCTGGTGATATTCACCACCCCCAATCCGTTTGAAGAGACTTAATGTTTTTGTCAAATAATTGTTCAACATGAAGTTTAAATTGTCGAAAAGTTGCTTCAACATCATAATTGTGCTGGATGGGAAACAACCAAATAAATCAACTATAGTCATCAAAGAATGTAACATAATATCGATTTCCATTATTTGAAGAAAGAGGGGCAGGACCACATACATCTGAAAATACAAGTTCAAGAGAAAATAAAGATTTCGACAATGAAAGACAACATGAAAAACTATGACTCTTGGCATACTGACAAGAATCACACATGGCAGAGATTTTTTGTGAAGTCACTAGAAGATTATTGGATGAAACAACTTGACGAACAGTGCGAAGAAGTGCTGGATGTCCAAGATGACGATCCAAAGATGCTCTTTCACCAAGCAAGGCAAGACAAGCGGAATTATTGAAGGAAGACATTGGTAGTTTGTAGAGACCACCCTTTTTCGGGCCTAGTAGAAGAATTTTCCCCGAGAGTCGATCCTTAACAAAAAAAACAAGGATGCAATTAAAAAAACACATTATTTTCTCAAGCAAATTGACTAACGGGGAGGAGAGTGTTTTGAATGTCAGGGACATGCAAAACATTATTTAATAGAACAACAGAATGAGGAGTGAGTAATTTTGTAAAACCAATATATTGGATAGGTAGGCTGGTACCATTGCCAACCGGGATGTGATCACCTCATGTGTACTCATCAGCCTCAAGATTGAGATTTTTGATATCAGCGGTTAAATGGTTTGTTGCTCCCGAATCCGAATACCAATTGAGGTTAGAAACATTATGTGGAATGGAAATAACAGCACTCAGATTACCAGGTTGCTCACCATGATAGGCATGATTGAAGCGTTGAAAGTAACATAGGGCAGTGTGTCCAAATTTATTACAAACTTGACAAACTGGTCTGTTAGATGTTTGCGATGATCCACCGCGTCCATGCCCCTTGCCACGCTGCTGCCCAGAATAATTAGAGGAACAATTTGAATCTGATGGATATGCAGAAGAGCAATTAGGATCCGTTGAGAGTGAGGGTGATTTGCCACGACCGTGATTGGTATTGTTTCGAGAAGCAATATTTGCAGACCCAAGGGAGAAGTCAACAGTAAGAGTATGATACTCCAATCGAAGTTCATAGGATAGCAGATACTGATACAAATCATCAACTGTTATAGGATCAATGCGAGTAGTTATAGAAGTAACTAAAGAATCATAAGCCGAACCAAGGCCAGCCAAGATGTACAAAATAAGATCAAAGTCATTTAGTGGTTGCCCAATGGCGACAAGAGTATCAGCAAATCCTTTGATTTTCTGGAAATAGTCTGTTATTAACAAAGAACCCTTTTTAATTGTAACAAGCTGATAACAAATCAACATAATTCGTGCCTTCAAGTGCAAAGCAAACATCTTGTGTTGCGTGACCCATACATCATGCGAAGTAGAACAACCCATTACGTGAGCAATAATTCCTTCGGAAGAGCGGAAATAAGGGAATTAAGTATGATCTAATCCTGTTGCAACCAGAACAAAAATACTAGATTGGTTATTGTGCTGGACTCAGTGTCTTGAGATGAAGATCGATCATAGTTTCGGAAGGAATGAGTGTTGATCCATCTAAATAACCAAAAAGATGGTGGCCTCTATAAAATATGGGATTACCTGTGCTTTCCATAGCAAGTAGTTGTCACGATTCAACTTTATGGGAAATGGGTGATTCAAGCTTCGAGGATTAAGGGTGGGAGGAATTGAGGCAGTGGTTGAAGAAAATAATGATGAAGAGATGCTGGCCATATTGACGTGGCTCTGATACCATAAAAAAGTCAAAGAATTCAATCAGTATTTGATTTCCTCACCTTAACTATAGTTGATGTTTTGTTTGTATATTTATATGCAAATTCTTTACAAGATAAATATAGATAATCCTAATCTATTTAAACGCTTGAATTTCAAATTATAAAATTCTGCTAACTATCTCTTGTGATCTTCACAACTACCAACTCGCGTGATATTCATTATTTTGTTACTTGTCCTTATCCTTATCACTTGATGATTCAATAACACAAAATGAAGTTCTTTGTTTTTAGGAGCTGCATCTTTGGTGATGGCAATGACTAGAGTTGCATTAGACGACTAGATTTTACTTATCACTTTCCATTTTGCTCAATGTAGCGAATCATGCACACTTCACTAAACTGACAGCTTGAATATCAAAATGCAAAATAATGACAAAACAAGATCAGCTATTGCAGATTGTTTTATGCAATAAAGAAAAATTACAGTTGCAGAATATTTGAAGCCAGTAAAGGGGGACTATAGAGTTTAACTTAAGGCGCCAAGCTTGTGGGAGACTCCATTTCCAATATGTATTTCATCAGCCTCTCTATCTTCCCCTTACAACATCTTCAGTATGAATTGTCTTCAAGCAGAGTATGAAATATATCAATCCATCAGGGAACTTTCTGTGGCAAGGTGTCAGTAGTCAATCCCTCCAGACCTCAAGTTTAGGTCTTGCAAGAGATGCCTTTGTTGAGCTAGCTAATAGGCTTGATTTGTGGTTGATTGCTTACATGCTGAGTTTACGTAGTAGCCAGAGAGTGTGGTTGTAATAGTTCTTAGTTATTACAAAAACCAAAGAGAGAAAAAGTATGGTTGTTTCGTTAGATGACTATCACTAAGATTATTTTACAATCTCAAATCTGAAAATCACGACCATTGACGCTTTGTGGCTATAATTCAGGAAAGCATCCAAGGAGATGGGTTATGTGGTTTTTAGCATCTTGCTCATCACTGTTTGGTATTAATGGTAAGCTCGGAAATTGAAACGAGGCCGGTTCAATCATTTGCAATGCAACTAGGTTGTCAAAGTTTTTCCAATCACTGTATTGGTTAGCAGCATCCCTGTTCCTCTGGTCAACATGATCTTCATTTGCCATGTCATAAAAATTGAGGGCTTTTTCGTTTGTCAAACCTGTCGAAATCATGGAGCTGTCTAGTTGTGGAAGTTCAACAAGAAGATTGTCAAATGAAGTATGGTTGGATTCACTGTCCTCCTCCAAACCAAAGGGTAAGTGATGAAAATCTGTGTGTTGATTCGAAGCATGCATTGGCTTTGTTATATCCGGAAATGATGGAGGCCTACTGATGCTGTTATTACCAATATGGTAACCATAATTCCAAGCATTGAAGCCTTGCTTTTGGTTCGGACTTGGTTTCTTGAATGCCCGACAAACGACCCATCCTTCTTCCTGCAATAACAACTTAGATTAGCTTAATAATTTCGAATGTATTGGTATAATCTATACTCACAACCATCCAAATTGTGCTGTAGAAGGAGATTTGAAAGCTAAACACCAGTGAAGGATGGATGGTCAAAGATTAACGTAAGAGGGATCTCTCACATTAGAGCTCATCCCACATTACTGTAACATCTCTTAAGCTATAATATATGCTTTACGACTTATGATATATGAGCCTCTCCATTGATTGCCAATTAGCTTGGTTTTGCTGTCCTAACACTCACGAAGCAACTTACAGGAGATGTTAATAACTGTTTCATGACTGGGTACAACATATTAATACTTCTATCAGTTCTATTGCTGCAATATAAAAGTGAAGTTGAACATGCCTTGTCCTGTCAATAAATACTTTCTACCTTAGAAAGTACTTTTGAAAATTTTACCTTAGAAAGTACTTTTTGAACATGCCTTGTCCTGTCAATAAATACTTTGTACCTTAGAAAGTACTCTTGAAAATTTTAAATCGAGTGCTACATTCTTTTCGTATGGAAACAGACAGAAAATATTGCTAAAAGTTCTTTAATAGGAGGTAATATTGATTTTGCTCAAAGAAAAAAAAAAGGTATCATGTTCATGCTTATTAGATATCACAGCGTGTTCAAAATAAAAGTGCTTTTCACAAAGTGGCACTTGCTTAAAGTGTGAACTTTTTTTTCCTGAAAGAGTGGTAATTGCTTTTTGTATGAGAACATTCACTTCAAAACGTTGCTAAAAGTTTTGTGGTAGGGTGTGTTACTGAAACTTCTTATAAATCACATTGGTGTTCAATATTTTGCTTAAAAAGTCACGATTAACTAAAATTTACTCTCTAAGATACCATTTCAGCTGTAGGTTACTGATGAACTTGCCTGAGGAGGTGCATGTTCAGATGTTTGGAGTCGATATTCATGCATGATCCAATCTGTTTTTTCTCCATTTGGGGCGCGTCCCTTGTAGAAAACAAGGGTCTTCCTCATCCCTACTAATTTTTCCTTCGACAGAACAGCCTTGTCTCTTCCTGTTGCCTTCCAAAACCCGGCAGCAGTAGCTCTATTTGTTCGTGTTCCGGTCGGATACTTTCTGTCCTTGTGACTGAAGAAATACCACTCGTTTTGTTCGTCATAACCCAATTTACACCTGTCTGTTAGGAGGAAATTGGTCGTCAGAAACTGTCCTAGCTGTAGGTGTGCAACATGTTGATTTTTAAGTGTTTTGGAATATTATAAAAATAAAGAGCAGTCTAAATCTAGTTAGCTAGTAATTTGACTTCCCATTTGGAAAAGTTCGATGATAGAAGAAGACTTCAAGCAGATGAAGAATTCTCATGCAAGAACGGGAACTCCTAGCTCCTTGAAGTAAAGTGTTTGCTCCATATTCAACAACTAAGAAGAAAGCGAAAATCAAGATTTATGAAGACATTCTTCTTAGCAGTTTTATAACTTCCTCAGGCTGTGCGGAAATTTGGTGCTACTTTCTTCGATTATTCTTAACATTTTCAGATATGAGAAGACAGCTACCTAGTCTCTTGGTTTGTGAGAGTAATCTCACAGGTCACAAGAGTAAGTTATATCTTTTAGACTAGGAATAATGTATATCATGAGTAACTCTTCTGAAATCATGCTTAGCGTAGCCATAATGTGGCTATTTTACTTTATTATATATATATATTTGAAAATAGAATTTTATTTTCTGAACAAAAATTAGATGATAGGCTCATATAATGACCATAATGCTTAGCCAAAAAGGGTTATATTAGGATCATAAGGAACTTTGGCCAGCCATGCAATATATGTATTGCACTGGAATTTTGTAGTCAATACCTTGGATGTCCCATGGCTCCATTCTGTAGAGATCAAGGTCTATAATAACATCTAGGTCAATTTTTAGGGAGTCAACCTTTCTCTTGAGGTAATATGCTACAAGTTCTTCCTCAGTCGGGTGAAATCTAAACCCTGGAGGAACACATGACTCCAACTCCATTGATGATCTCCTGAGAACGTAGGATAAAAACAGTCAGAGAGAGAGAGAGAGAGAGATAGACTTGCCAGAATAAAAAGAGAGATGGAGAGAGATGTTCAAGGCGAAGTGCTTTCTAACATCCATTCTTCTGGTTAATTGCAATAAAAATCACACTTCAAGAAACATAAAGAGATCTAGAAACCTTCAAAGCTACAATTTCTTGGTGCATGTGTTGGGTACCATGAGAATTTCACATTGGATAGAAAGACAAAATTTAAATCGTATTAATATACTATCAAGCTCCAATCTCTCATGGGCTCTTCAACGATCAATAGTTTATGTTCTTTTGTACACTTAGTATTTTTATTTTTTATTTTTTGATGAACTACTTTTAATGCTCCGTTTGGTACGATAAAAAAATAGAAAGATAAAAAGTTTGATGGATAGATAAAATATTATGTTTGATAAAGAAAATATGATGGATTAATGAGCTTTCTTTCTAACTCACTAAAATCAATTCCTACAAAATTAGAAGAAAAGTACATTAAAAGTTAATTATTTGTGTTGAAATGTATCTTATTTATCTATATATCATTTGATATATACATATATTATGTACATATTAATTTTATCATTTGATATATACATATATTATGTACATATTAATTTTATATATAAATACAATGATAAATATGTATTTCTATTTTTTTTTAAAAAAATTAAAATTAAAAACATATTTTTTTCATCTTACTAAGGACAAAAAAAAAATTAATCATTTTTATTTTTCATCCAACTTTCCAAACACAAAAGAAAAAATATATCATTTTTACTTTCTTTCTTTGAAGGATAAAAAATATTTCTCTCATATTTTTCATCCCTTCCGCCAAACGGACCATTAGTATTAAAGAGATGCAATGCCCCAAGATTCGTGGCCCCCCTATTTTCATTTAAATCAATTCTGGGAGGCGTGCTTCTGATGAAATGAAACTGAAAATGCTTACAGAAAAAAAGAGAAAAGAAATGAAATTGAAAGCTCATTTCTACATTTGTCATGATTCCAATCCATTCGTGAACATAAGGCTACGCTGAATTGATCTCATTCCAATGGACCCAACAAAGTTGCAGCATGTGTTTTAATTGTTACATAAGGAGAATGGCAGGTACCCACCAAAACACCATTGATTCATCTTTAACATAACCATGAATTCCATGTACTTAGGCAAGTCTATTGAACACAAAAGTAGCCGAGAAAATTGACTTTCTGGACACAAGCATGCTAGTTTCTTTGAGTGCAGTCCACTCCCCATGGTGATTGAAAACGTTTTCACACCCACCACATACCAGTTACCACACATTTATTTTATTTTTTTTGATAGCAACTGTAATGGGATGCACCTATAATGCTAGATACACAGCTTCTTTCAAGTCGATCGGATGGACCGCTGGTCCCACATACCACAGATTTATGAACAGAAGTTTATTGAAGGACAGCCTCTCAAGTCTCAAGTGTCAAGTCTCTATTCTCTAGTCTCAAGTCTCTGCAGTGATGACAATATCCTAGAGCTTCTCCTGCTCTCTCTCTCTCTCTCTGTGTGAAAAATAAACTTGTTTTCAAATTTATTATATTATTAAGGTATGTTACTTAAGTGTGTAAGTGGACAAAGAATATGCAAGTAATGGAAAACAAGGATTCGTAGTGTCTTTGTATTTTAAGAGTTACAAGAGTTAGGGGTGAACAAGTATAATACTGTGAGTTATGACTTAGACTTATATAAATAAGATATATATATATTCTAGTGTTTCAAATTTCAATTAAGTAGAGTTGAGTTGAAGAATCCAAGTTGAATGTGTGATTGAAATTAACTTATATGAACATTATTTTTTTTTTGTGAGTGTTTATATCTTCATCTACTGCCTTCTATTTTATTTTTAGTCATCTTGANAAACACAAAAGAAAAAATATATCATTTTTACTTTCTTTCTTTGAAGGATAAAAAATGTTTCTCTCATATTTTTCATCCCTTCCGCCAAACGGACCATTAGTATTAAAGAGATGCAATGCCACNAGTGTTTATATCTTCATCTACTGCCTTCTATTTTATTTTTAGTCATCTTAACTCCAATAAAATGATATTAAAGCTATTTTCTAATTGGAGTAATTCCAACATATAATCATGCACACATGCATTTGCATGCAGGTTCAGTATAATCATCCCAAATAGAAAAGTAAAAAAGTAAAACTCCCACATTAACAGAATGAAATTCTGAGGTTTTAGCGTCATCCACAGCTTGGAGGTATATATTTTGGCCAACTTAGATCAAGTTGTAATGACATACTATATGACACAATTATATATGATGCAAGCAAAAAGCATTAGAGATTCATTATCAACGATGAACTTTGAAACTGTTGGCAGCGGTTTGTCAGGATACCACTTGTTTGGAATTGATCCATTTTAACACAAAAAAGAGAGAAAAAAAATATCATAATTCCCGTAAAGAAAACATTTGCTTCATAGTCTATGCATCAACACTTCACTAAGAACATATTCACTNAAACACAAAAGAAAAAATATATCATTTTTACTTTCTTTCTTTGAAGGATAAAAAATATTTCTCTCATATTTTTCATCCCTTCCGCCAAACGGACCATTAGTATTAAAGAGATGCAATGCCACAAGATTCGTGGCCCCCCTATTTTCATTTAAATCAATTCTGGGAGGCGTGCTTCTGATGAAATGAAACTGAAAATGCTTACAGAAAAAAAGAGAAAAGAAATGAAATTGAAAGCTCATTTCTACATTTGTCATGATTCCAATCCATTCGTGAACATAAGGCTACGCTGAATTGATCTCATTCCAATGGACCCAACAAAGTTGCAGCATGTGTTTTAATTGTTACATAAGGAGAATGGCAGGTACCCACCAAAACACCATTGAATTCATCTTTAACATAACCATGAATTCCATGTACTTAGGCAAGTCTATTGAACACAAAAGTAGCCGAGAAAATTGACTTTCTGGACACAAGCATGCTAGTTTCTTTGAGTGCAGTCCACTCCCCATGGTGATTGAAAACGTTTTCACACCCACCACATACCAGTTACCACACATTTATTTTATTTTTTTTGATAGCAACTGTAATGGGATGCACCTATAATGCTAGATACACAGCTTCTTTCAAGTCGATCGGATGGACCGCTGGTCCCACATACCACAGATTTATGAACAGAAGTTTATTGAAGGACAGCCTCTCAAGTCTCAAGTGTCAAGTCTCTATTCTCTAGTCTCAAGTNAGTTTTGTGCACGAAGATTCCACCCTTTGTATAAAGAATAATAATAATAATACTGACACATAACAAATCGATTTAATTTGCTGGTTTAATGGGATGGTAATGATATGATCTAATAGTATTGTTGTGATTATAATAGTTGATTTTTCGCATTGAAACTTTATCGCTTAACACATTACTATATTAATTTTTTAAGTTTCAATAACATTACTCTCAATTCACATTATAACTCACATGGTTTGATTCAGTTTCGAAACAAGAGATGAGACCTAAACCTACCCATTTTAAGTTGGAGCTTCCCNATTCTCTAGTCTCAAGTCTCTGCAGTGATGACAATATCCTAGAGCTTCTCCTGCTCTCTCTCTCTCTCTCTCTGTGAAAAATAAACTTGTTTTCGAATTTATTATATTATTAAGGTATGTTATTTAAGTGTGTAAGTGGACAAAGAATATGCAATGGAAGGCAAGGATTCGTAGTGTCTTTATATTTTAAGAGTTACAAGGGTTAGGGGTGAACAAGTATAATACTATNTTTTTTTTGGGAGAAAAAAGGAACGGGACTTGAACTCTTGACTTTAACAAGACAAAATTTTTACAAGTGACAAGAAATACCATTGGACCAAAGACTCGTTCATACCTAACTTTTATTGTATAAAAAAATAATAAATGTTTATAAGACATCAAATCACGTGGTGTTTACATCTNTCTAGTGTTTCAAATTTCAATTAAGTAGAGTTGAGTTGAAGAATCCAAGTTGAATGGGTGATTGAAATTAACTTATATGAACATTATTTTTTTTTTTTGAGTGTTTATATCTTCATCTACTGCCTTCTATTTTATTTTTAGTCATCTTAACNTAATAAAAAATTACAACAATATTTTTTTTGGTTAAACACACATAATAATTTGTTAAAAGAAATCTAATAATTTTATAAAAAATAATAATTGATTGATAATATACAAGGTGATGTATTATAATATGGTGTATGCCGAGCACCGAATATCTTCTTCTCCTTTGTCTGTTTGGTGCGCCGCCCTTCAACACTTGTCATTATGGGTCGGTGGCCGCATGGATGACGCCGNCTATATGACACAATTATATATGATGCAAGCAAAAAGCATTAGAGATTCATTATCAACGATGAACTTTGAAACTGTTGGCAGCGGTTTGTCAGGATACCACTTGTTTGGAATTGATCCATTTTAACACAAAAAAGAGAGAAAAAAAATATCATAATTCCCGCAAAGAAAACATTGGCTTCATAGTCTATGCATCAACACTTCACTAAGAACATATTTTTATTNCGGACTACATCAAACAGCCAATCATTTGTGTTCACAAACATGTTCGGAGAAAGGGATGTCTCCCNCGGACTACATCAAACAGCCAATCATTTGTGTTCACAAACATGTTCGGAGAAAGGGACATGTCTCTCAGAAAAGCCATGAGTTTTTTGTTTTTTTTTTGGCTTTTTCTGGCTTTGCCTCATTTGTTCTTGCAAGAAGCAGTATTAAATAATTAAGGACTAAACCTTAGGTCATTCGCAAAGTACTAGATTATAAACAAGATTATCAATTGCACTTGGTTATTAAAAAAAAAAGGGAAAATACTTGTAAATGATGCATCACCACTATAATAAATAATTAATATTATTATTCTTAATAGTGTATTTACAACAAAAGAGAAAACATGACATAAGAGATTAATTTTTTTTATCTTACGAGNCAGAAAAGCCATGAG